GTGAACAGTCCCACAGTCACTGCTGTAGAGGGGCTATGGTTACAGCCCTCAACCAACATCAGAAAAAATACTAATGATCACATTGCAGTAAATGCAACCTTTCTGTTTATAGGACCTTGTTGCATCCTTTCTTTTATTCTTTCATCAGATGTGGGATCACTGTCTAGGCCAGCATTTACTGCTCATCCCTAATTGCCCAGAGGGCAGCTCAGAGTCAACCACATTGCTGTGGGTCTGGAGTCACATGTAGGCCAGACCAGCTAAATTAGGCAGATTTCCCTTCCCGAAATGACATTAGTGAACCAGATGGGTTTTTCCTGACAATCAACAACAGTTTCATGATTATCATTAGACTCTTAACTTCAGATTTTTAATCGAATCTAAATTCCACCATCCGCCACAGCAGGATCCAAACATATGTTCCCAGGGTCTCTGCATTAATAATTCAGCAATAATACCACGAGATCATCACCTGACCTTGAGGGATTGGTTCTGGAATTTGTTTTAGCTGCTTTGTTGGATGTAAAACAGACGGTCCATTTCCTGCATGACAACAACCAGCACCCTCCAAAAAGCACTCTGTTGCCAGTAGAACGCATTGAGATATGCTGTGGTCATGAAAAGTGCTAGATCAATGAAACTCTTTCGTTTTGCCTCATTCTTCCCCCATTGATGTGTCTTCGAGCAAAAAGGCTGTTCAGTGTACCCTGGATCTTCCCAGTGGATACGGTAAAGGAGATCCTTGTGGTTTGCAGCTCCTTTCTCAACCTCCAAATATCTCAAAGTGTCTTTCAACCAATGAAACATTCAACAAAGTTTATTTTCCAAAGGGAGATGGTGTTAATGGTGTTGTTGTGGTAATATTACTGGCCCAAAAATCAGAGACCCAAGTTAATATTCTCAGGACAAGGCTTCAAATCACACCATGGCAACTTTTTTAAAGTCATTTACAGGATGGCTATTTACATTGCTAGCTACAGAGGGAACACTGCCCCTCCTAAAATGCAGCATTCTCTTCAGTACTGACCCTCTGACAGTGCAGCACTCCCTCAGCTCTGACCCTCTGACAGTGCGGCACTCCCTCAGTACTGACCCTCTGACAGTGCGGCACTCCCTCAGCACTGACCCTCTGACAGTGCGGCACTCCCTCAGCACTGACCCTACAACAGTCTGGCACTCCCTTCAGTACTGACTCTCTGACAGTGCGGCACTCTCTCAGTACTGACCCTCTGACAGTGCGGCACTCCCTCAGTACCGACCCTCCGACAGTGCGGCACTCCCTCAGTACTGGCCCTCCGACAGTGCGGCACTCCCTCAATACTGATCCTCTGACAGTGCGGCACT